TTGCCATCTTTCCTCTCCCATATTATGCCTCAGAATGAGGCTAGGCCTGGGGCATTGTAGCGGATGAAAAATGGTGGTTAGCCTGCCAACACAGTAGGAGGGGGGATTACAAGGGTGGGGTGGGGGAAGCAGATGTTCCACTGCTCCAGCTAAATTGTAAGCAACATCCCTGAGAAACTTCTAGAGAATTTCTCTTGCCCCATGAGGAGTTTGTGAAAACCCCAGCACAATGCTTCATCTCACCACAAATAAGGTGGATAGTTTTGAGAGGACATTTGCACACAGATTTACACGTGACTGAGCAGACTTTATAGTTAGCCCATAATGATTTGGGAACACTGTGAAAAGCTTCCGCTCACTGCTGGCCATGTGCAAGATGAGATAAAACAGAACCATATTTGCATAAGTCTGACACCAGATAAAAGCCATAGTCTTTATGAGCTGAGGGACTGGAGAAATTTCAGAGCTGCTTCATCCAACTGTTCCTACTTTGATATCCCTGTGCAATTCCTGTCATCCTAATTAATGAAGTGAGCCCTGTGAGACTTAAAAGGATTCTGTTACAGAGACCAAATTGCCCTTTATGAAAGTTTTTGTTAAAAAAAAATAATTAAAAAATGCATTTCGCAAATGGGCTTGGGCGAGGAAAGCTGACAGCCTGGTATCTCCCTGGTATCTGTGTGATGTGTAGTCAGAAGGTGGCATCAGAAGTGACTACGGTTTCCATATTTCAAAAAAGTACAAACCAGGACCTCCTGAAAGCTGTTGAGCTTTTTTTTTACACAATTGACTTGCCTAAGATCCAGGACAAAGCGCTGCCTTCTGGAAACCCCCGTAATGTCTGGGAAAATATGGACATATGGCAGCCCTAGGAGTGACTGGTGGGGAGGAATGGTGGAGAACACATGGCTTTATGGTTACTGCCATCAACACAACTTCATGAAAAGGATGAAACAGTGGGGTTGTCTGCACTCTGAGGACACAACAGCAGAGCCATCTGGTGCTGCACAAGCCTCACTGCCACTTTGTCCCTCTCCCAGGTGACAATTGCCCATGTGAAGTGTCTCAAAGTGCAAGGCCCAAATGAGATTTCAGAAAGAGAAAGCTGCTCTTTCAGGGGTGCTCCCCCTCCATAACATTTCATATAATTAAGGATCCGAAATCAGGCTCCTTTCACTGCGACTGTCGTCTTCAAAGGTTACTATGACATTTCCAAAACATTCTGTTGCACATATGAATGAACCATGTTTGTTCCTTTGCCGTTGCTATATCTACAACACCAGATCCTTTGGAATGGAACTTGACATTTTACATGGCAAAACAGATTTCTTTTTTGTTAATTAAATTTGAGGAATTAATGGTCTCAAGTTGTAATGTTTAATAAAGTATAAAACAAACATGACAGAATGCTTGCAGTCAAAGCAGCAAGGATCCAACTGCAGCACTTTAATAGCTAATCCTGAGGAAAGCACTATTATTGATGGGAGGTATATCTAAATAAGGGAGAAAACCTAATTTTCCAGTAAGGACAGTGGGAAGGCTGAGTTAGAAGGAGGTCTGCAGTCAGAGGAAGGGATTTGAGGTGTGTGGTCATTGAAAAGCTCAACCACCATTGCTTCTTATCCTCAGTTTCCCAAGTCAGTATGGCTAAAAAGGGAGCATTACGGGGCCAGGGCGGGGGGCAACTAGATTTGGAACAGTGGTTTGCAGAGGGACATAGTTCAGAAGGCAGAAGCTGGGAAATACTGGATGGGGAACAGCTAGGAGAAGAAACACTGGGAGACAGGAGATTAACAGATTCACTGTCTCTGGACAGCATTTCTCCACTCTTCACAAGGTCAAGAAGAGCTCAGAAAGTGTCAGAACAGAAAGCACACAAAGCACTGAGGGTACAAACACAGATTACAAGACGTAGAAGTGATGTAGATTAATGGAGACGTAAGGGGGTGGGGTCCATCACAGGGATTCAACCTGCCGACTTCTGATCGGCAAACCCAAGAGGCTCAGTGGTTTACACCACAGCGCCACCCCCATCCCAGCCACACTAAATGAGCTCCATGCCTATACTTTAGTATGTGGATGTATCTTGTGCAGGCTTGCAACCTCCCTTGCATGTTTTTCCAATGTGTATGGGTAGGGGGTCATCTCTACTTCCTGAAACTTAAAATATATTAGAACGGCTAATTCTGCTCTTAAAATACTTCATATTAAACTGGCAAACTTCCCTTTCAATATGTTTGCAATTTGATAGCACATAAGTGTTCAAAATAATTTATCTTCATAAGCAGAATGGATTGAGCCCTCAGGTTAGAATCATGTCCATCTGAAGGTGTTCTTTGTTTTGGCCCTGAAGCAGGATATTTAATTTAGTTAGCGGACGTGGAGTTCCTCATTCTCTGTGGGCTTAAGCAGTTATTGAAAAAATGATAAACATGCTTGAAAATTTGTACAGTGTTTTATTCCACTGCATGCACAGTTACAATATTTGTTTCAAATGACCATGGTTTGATTCTGTCTCTTCAGAAAGTTATTCCATAACTGACGTTCGCTTTATAAGAAAAGGCAAGAAGATTTTCCCAACTCAAAAGTAAATAGTATAGATGAACATTCTTAGATTGAATTACTTAATGTAATTGCCAAATAGTAGTAGTAGTAGCAGTAGTAGTAGTAATAAATTTATTTTTTATACCCCATCCATCTAGTCATCAGGCAAAGTCAGTGAGTGATCCCTTGTCAAAAAATGATTGCTCATCCTTCCATTGACAGGAATATTCAACTAGAGAGCCACCAGCATTGTCAGATCCAAAACATGACTTGGGCCAAACCACACATTCTGCTAATACAGTGGTACCTCGGTTTTTGAATGTCTCAGAAGTTGAACGTTTCGGTTTTCAAACATCGTAAACCCAGAAATAAATGCTTTGTTTTTCGAACACACCTCAAAAGTCAAACATGTTTTGCGGCTTCCGCTGAGTGCAAGATCCTGAAGCCTAGCTGTCAGCTACTGAGTTTTCAGTTTTCAAACATTTTGGAATTCGAACGGTCTTCCGGAACAGATTACGTTTGAAAACCGAGGTACCACTGTATACCATACTACCTCCAAATGGTTCTACAAGGGTGTCTCAGCTACCTCTACAGCACTTAACTTCATCCTCTCATCCAACACACATCAGAACTGCTAGATTCAGACTATTGGTGGAAGACAATATATCTGCAGAAACCTGCTTAGAGGAGGAAGTGAAGTCTCTCGACTTGAGGTAGGTTTGTTCTAAATGGTCTTGTCTACATGAATACCAGATACAGGTGGTAAAACAAAGCACATTAGGAGGGTTGGAGTCCAGTGCCATCACTATGCTGATGTCATCTAAATCCACTTTTCTGAATCACGAATCAGAAGAGGTTGTACATCCGAATCATGAGGTATTAGCCCGGTGTCTGGACACAGAGGTGTGCTGGATGACTGAATTGGACTGAAGATGGATGTCCTGTAGGTGTGTGTGTGGTTTCTGGGTTCAGAAGTTAGACAACTTACTTGTCCAGGATGGGATTGCACTGCCCTTGAAGAAACAAGTCTGTAGTCTTAGGGTGCTCCTAGAGCTATCATGTCACCACAGGCCCAAGTGACGAAGAGCCCCTCTTATCAGCTTCTGTTGGTGTACCAGCTACAGCTTTTCCTAGGTGGGAATAGCTTGGCCACAGTGACCATTGTTATCTTTGTGTCTTAGTTACTACAATATGCTTTTTGTGGGGCTCTAGAAGCTGCATCTAGCTAGGCTGTTGTGTGATGTATCTGGCTCCTGCCATGTAACACTTTTAATGAAAGAACTGTACCGGCTGCCATTTTGCTGTTGGATCAAGTTGAAACTTTGTGTATGAATAAGCCCCTGAACAACTTGGGACCAGAATACCTGAGATAATGGCTTCTTCCAGGTTGACCTGCCCAAACACTGTGTTTACCATCAAATGACCTCCTGGTTATACCACAACTTGCAGACATCCATCTGCTACCAACCATGAAGAGGACTTTTTCTGTGACAGCCAAACTCTGAAATAGCCTCCCCCTAAAAAAAACCAAGAATGTGTACCAATTGTGTTGCAGTTCAGGATTTGCTGAAAATATGTTTGCCTCACGGTTTGATGGTTCAGTTGCTAGGATTTTAAGCTTTGGGTAGGGTTAGCATTTGCTACACTCCAATTAGTTCTGCTATTAAATTCAGGGAAACTTGTTCTAGGCCAGTTTGGGGTAATCTGGCTTATCGACATTCATGAATGGGAGCAACATGTTGAATGTTGCCCCTCCCTCCAAGCAAAGATACCTTCTGCTGAGTAGTTCAAAGCTGAATCAAGGCCATTATTTGAGAAGGCTTCTTATATTGGTTAAATAATGGGATCCCATTTTTTCACTTCCTTCATACCAGATTCCCTTGTGGAAGAGCTAAAGTGTAACCATTTCCAGGCAATATGGTCGAGAGTCAGACCAGCGATTAAATTGGGTTGTGATCCTAATCCTATATCCATTATTTTCCTGGCAGTAAGTCCCATTGCAATGCATAGAACTGCACTTAAGCTAACATTGCAGTATAACTAGTATACAGCCACTAGCTGTATTGCATGAATTTTTTTGCATAGTTATAATGGGATACACATAAACTCACATACATTAGATGGTAATGACTGAGTGGGAGTCAGCTTCAAAATGAGGTTGCAATTCCTTAATATTTTCAAGGTCAGTGATTCTATTTTTCTTCACAGATATAGATATATCTATCTGCTGAAATTTCCCATTGAGTTCAATGGGGCTTATGTGCACCTAATTGCAGCTGCTATTAGATGAGTTCTGTTTTACACTATGATTTTATACTTGGATTATATTGTATTTAAATATTTGCGAGCTCCTTGGAAGGACAAGTGGTCCAGAAATAACAAAATAAATGTGTATAAAAGCACAACCCTCTAAACTGATAAAAGGCCATGTTCTTTATAAATCAGGCAGGCAACAATATCGTTATAAAACTGGTTTATTTCTTAAAAATAAATACAAAAATATAAATATAAAACATTGGCAGATAGAATCTGATGAAATGAAGTTGCACAAAGTTTTTTTTTTTTTTAAACCAGCTGCATATCACATTAACACCACGTGTATATTTTCAGGGAAATTTGTAATGTACAGAATAGGGACATATGTTTTCTTCTTCTTCCAGGGCCACAATCTCTAAAAAGAAGTGCACAGAGGTTCTGTGCATTCATTTTAATTGTTTTTCACTTCCTTTTTCAGAAATTGCACAAACAGAACCCACAAACTAGAAGTGCCACTGAAATTTCACCTATAGCAAAATTCAAAGAATTTATTGGAAAATCTGATGGGTTTTGCACACTGGGCTGTTATTCAGAAGATTAATTTTTTTGTAACAGAAAAAGAAGCCCCTTGTTTTCTAGGCATGTCGATTCTGGGGAGAATGCTCTCTATGCAAGATTTTGGAAAGCTCTCCAGGGGTCTTGTGTGGGCAGTTCCTGAAAAAGAAATAAAATTCTAAGGAAAAACATAGGAGTGCATGTGGAACGTGCATTCATGACCCTCTGTGGATCACAGTCTGGGTCTTTTAAAAAAGCTGTATTTGCAAGTGTAGAACATGTATTTAACGAAAGCAACTCAAATCTATGGTTGCTTGGGAGATTATAAACCTGCACAAAGGTAGTGTATCCTTTATTTCATAAATTGGACCACACTGAATTTCAATAGCTTTGGCTTTTGGAAAGGGGTTAAATAAAATGCTGTATATATTCCATGTGACATTCTACGAGAAAGAATAAAGGACATTAATGAGCAAATTCGAAACGAAACGAGAAAGAAAGGAAAGGAAAAAAACCCATTGTGCTGAGTGGCAGGAAAACGTTCCTGAACATCAAATATTGTCACGTGGAGAAGGTGTCTGTAAAGTTACTTCCTCTCAAATGAACAAAAACTGTATATCCTACGGTCGGTTAGGAAGTGTCTTTATCGCTTTCGCCTCCACCATACATCTCAGCAAGCTTATTAAACCGAGGCCCCCATTCCTTGAGGTAATCATAGTTTTGGTCTCCCTCAGTAGTGCCAGACTCTAAAGAACTCAAGGATTCAGCTATAGAATCATTTCCTTCATAGGCGTAAGTTGCCAGGGAATCGTACGGTGGCGCAGAGGGGTCATTATCATGCTCTTTCAACCTTTGGTTAATGAAATCCCGGACATCCGTGTTATCTGGGGCAGAAGGAGTCCTCCGTGGTATAAATAATGTTTCCGGGATGATATCTCGGCGTAGCTTCTTATCTTCGATAGCCGCAGGATTCCTCAGTGTGCCAATATCAAAAGCCTGTGTGTCTTCTTCTCCACCACCTTCATCATTATAACTCACAATGTTGTCTCTGATATCTTCCTTAGACAAGATCAGAGGCTCTTTCTTTCGCTGCCTCTTTAGAGCCGCAAACAACACCACTATAACTTGGAAAAAAGAAAGAACACCATTAAGAAGGAATTGCAGTTTGCGATACTAACAAACATGTCTGTCGTGTCCATCTTTGGTATTATTATTATTACTATTTTTTACCAGCTCAGTGCAAGACTTCAGCCATGCTCTATTTGGTAATACAGTGGTACCTCGGTTTTCAAACATAATCCATTCCAGAACACCATTCAAGTTCTGAAATGTTCAAAAACTGAAAACTCAATAGCTAACAGCTAGGCCTCAGGATCTTGCACTCAGCAGAAGCCACGTGGCATATTCAACTTCCAAGGTGTGTTCGAAAACCGAAGCATTTACTTCTGGGTTTACGGCGTTTGAAAACTGAAATGTTTGTCAACTGAGATGTTTGAAAACCAAGGTACCACTGTACTCTATGATGTATTTGGCATCCTGTATCAAATCAGCACACTGTTGTTGTGTGTTTTTATACCAAATATATGAATATTGGACCATATTGTTTCAAAAGTCATGTGCCTGCCCCTCTCTCTGCCAAGCGGTGGCAAGAGCCCAGCCATGCACTCGTCAAAGGTCTGTCCTTCTTTGGAGAATTGAATGTGCAGCAGAGACTGCCATGCCTTTAAGAAATATGGTTTATTAGCCTTTTTACACCCTCAGTCTGCATGGAGGGAGTCCAGATCTCATGGTATGGTCATTTCAAAAGGAGCAGGGCAAGCAGCCTCCCCCAAAGATGGATCTCAACTCTTCTTCCTCCTTCTTCTTCCCAGAAACCCTTTTCCTGTCCCCTCAAACATACACCCCACCCCCTTGGTAACATCTCACTCCCCAGTGGGCCATCAACACCTTTTGTCATGTTATCAAGTTTGCTCTTCAGCCAGCCAGCCAGGCTGGTTTGCGTAAGTCAGCCCAGGAATTCCCTATATGGCACAGTTCTGCACTTTAATCCATATCCCAATTAGTTGAAACCCTGGCATGTATGGGGTTTGGGGGCATTACCCCCTTAAATCTATAACAATATTAATTTATGTGCAACCATTGCTAGAAACCTACCAAGAAACATCGTGGGGGATTTGTAATCCTGACCCTTGACATCCAGAATAGATGAAATGAGAACATATGAAGTTCCTTGGATGAATCAAACCAAGAAGGTCAATCTGTTTTGTTTTTTACCGCAATACTTCTGGAAACTCACAGGAAGGGTGTGAGGTTTCATTATTTATTATTTATTGCTCTAGCAATGAAGATGTTGTTATGCATTTGCAAGGGCACAAGACTCCCCTAAATTTAATGAAGGGTAGACTTTGGAAAATATTTAGATTATGAAGGGAAGATGCCAGGCCAATGAAAAACGCAGGTTAAACCAATTCTTCTGTTCAGAAGATTGCTGACAGTGATGCCATTAAGAACCCAAAGGCAGCTAAGCACCAGGCCATTAAGAACACTTGACTGTGTAGATGCCGTCCTTCTTCCCAGCTGAGAAGTGGACAGTAACAGAAGAACTGAGAGGGTGAAGTTACCAGGGGTAACAAAGGGTGTTTGGAATCAAGTTTGCTGAAGCTATGAGAGGAACAATGAGAGGCACTCTTGGGGTGTAATGTTCTCCACACCCTCCACCAAATCTCAGGTTGTAAATATGTGTAAAAATAAACAATATTTCATAAAGACACGACAGTCTCCTCTGTGCCTCATTCCCAAGAAAATATGGCTTCTGCTCAGCAGAGATTGGGGTGGCCTGTAACAAGGTATTTATTCTGAAGGGGGATGTTCCTCTTAGGTGTCCTAACAGCTGTTGAGAGTTCTATCCCCCTTGAATAAGCCTAATTTTTTTTTAAATCATCCGTATGCCATCACGGTATATTTTGGTCATGAATTCCTTAAATTACTTATGCATTATGTGAAAGAATTTCCTTTTGTCTGCCCAGAACCTACGGCAAGTGCACTTTAACCAAATACTGAAAACAGTCTGCCCAAAATAGCCTTCTTCTTTTTTAGTGCTATAGTCTGTAAAATGCAACGCTTAACTAATGCTTCCTTTGTTCTTTTGCTTCGAAAAGTAGCTGCTAATTGTCATTTCAAACTTGACAGCTGTTCTTTGACATATCCCATCTCGTTCCCCTCAGATCTGCTTGCTGAAGCAGGAACTATGCCTTCTTTTGAGGAAAGAAGTGACAGCAAAGCTAATTGGAAATCCACAGTTTAAAAAAAAAGTTTAATTGACCCCATAATCCCTATTAAAGTGTGTACTATTTTCAGCTAGGGTGGCTTGGTGGGGCTGTGTTGCGCACCTGACCTCTGTGTGGCTGAGTCACTGCAGTGTACTGGGAAGGTAAGGAGGGGGCCAGGAAGGAAGGAAGGTTTTTGCAATGCAAATTTGCCAGCAGAGCCATTCACCTTTCTACTGGCACCATTTCCCCTCCCCAAAGTGCTGCAATTGGTTCCACCAGCCAGCGGTAAGGTAAGCAGCATAGCTTCACCGTGAAATCTGCTGCTGACTATTTTAAGTCATTCACTCATTTCTTCATACGTTGCACAATTTGTTTACACATATAAAGTATGCCTAATTTAGGCCAAAAAGTGCCCTGGAAGTTTATTTTAAAGGAGGGGGTAGGAAACATATGATTTTTATTATTATTATTTTGTTAAAGAAAGAAATAAAGAGAGAGAATAAGAGAACTCCACTCGAGCTTGTTATCTCCAAAGAGTAGAGGCTGATTCACACTTTTAATTCAATTTCCTCTCTTTTTTTTTTAAGGTATGGCAGCATTTCTTCTCGTCTGCTCTTTCCTTTACTCTCTATTTCAAAAGTTCCCCTTGTAAAAAATGAGGTGCTCGATTCACCAAATGATTCGGAAATAAATGCGTGAATCTTGGAAGAGGCACACTTTTTACTCTATGTGAAGCTCTCCAGAGAGGTAATGGTATGTGCATATTTTATATCTATATATAGTTTTAATTCTATGAATGTTCAATTGTGTTGGGTTTTTTTTAGTTGTTCCTATTTTTTCAGTAAGTAGCCTTGATTATTAATGTCCTGGGACAAAAATGCCTCAAATTTGATGCCTGTGGGCACCTTGTCAGCCCCTTGTTGCCCACCAAGGCCCCTTGACCCTCTCATTTTTTGTTAAATAGGGATGTTCTTCAGTTTTACTTTTTGTTGTTGCTTGGTTGGGGTTTTTTGGTGGTGGGGATGTTGCCTGTTTCATTCATTCATTCATTTGCTTTATTTGCTTTTCTTGCCCTGTATAAATGTATTGCCTGTTGTTTGGGCTGGTTCTGAGCACTGCCAGTTTTTCTTCTTCTATGAAATGGGTGTTTTGTGGTGCCCACAGCAGTTGCCTAGATTTCCTAATGTGCCCATGCACCCGACAAAAAGGTTGGCGATCTCTGGAGCAGCAGCTTGCAAGCTGGAACGTGCTGAAGTGGTTATGCAGTTCCGACTTCATCTGTGCAGATAAGATAATATTGTACCCTAATCCAATTTCAGGGACAATCAGTGTATCAATTTGATTACTGAAAGGTGGTGACAAGTAAGTAAGGCTGAAAAAAAAGAAAAGACTGCAGGATGCAGCTTGGCAGGGCCTAATATCTATTTATAGTGCCATTTCATTTAGCAAAGAGTAGCGTTCCCCTGCAACTTACCCAGGAGAATAATGATGCAGAGCAGAATGGCAATGAGCGCTCCTGTGCTAAGACCTGCTGGAAGGAGCAAAGCTTCAGCATTGCAAGACTGCATGTTTCCCCGGCTGTCGCAGGCACACACCCGAATAGTCAGTGTGCCAGTGCTGCTTTGGATGGGGTAGTCATTGTCGGATATCACCACTGGCAGAAGGTAAGTACTGATTTCGTGCCGGCTAAAGCCATTCCTCCTCGTCAAAATCCGGGCAGTGTTATCTAGACCAGTTAGCCACAAACAATGTACACATTACAACAAAACCACAGAGCTATGCACTCAGTGTTACATTAAGAGAACTTGAACAGACTTCCCATTAAATATTTCCCCTGAAGCAAGCAGTCGGCTATCTTGTGTGTGCAGCCTTCTGACCCAAAGCCACAGTTCCACGTTTATTGACATTTCCCCTTGCCATTGTGTTTTAAATGCAGAACAAAACCCCCCACAAATTTGTCATTAGTAATGCGAGCTAGCATGAATAATATTCAAGGCCATCAACGTTCCCCTCCATTTCCCCTTCACTCAAAAGAACCGGTTTGTTTCCTTAATGAGCAATTGTTATTTTTTTGTCCCCTAACAGGAATTGAGTGGTGTGGGACATGGGATATGACTCCATAATTGCTGCATCACAGACAAAATGCAAAGAAAACCCCAATAAATGTCTAGCTAACCCCATAGACAATCTGAATGATTGAAGGTGCACATTAGTAACTGAACGTTTTCTGGATTAAGCTAGGTAGATGACAGATATCCATTATTGGATCTCTCATCTCTGAAAAAAAATGGTGGCTGATGTGCTGCTGGGGGATGGATCTATCATTGACTATTGTACATGATAATTAATCGCAATCAAGAACAGTATACATTCACTGATCACATACTAGGTAGGACTCTGCCATCATACACTGCTTGTGGGTGTCTCAGAAAACAAAAAAAGTAAAGTAAAGGTAAAGTACCCCTGAATGGTTAAGTCCAGTCAAAGGCGACTATGAAGTTGTAGCGCTCATCTCACATTCAGGCCGAAGGAAGCCAGCATTTGTCCACAGGGAGCTTTCCGGGTCATGTGGCCGGCATGACTAAACTGCTTCTGGCGCAACGGAACACCATGACGGAAACCAGAGCACACGGAAATGCCGTTTACCTTTCCACTGCAGCAGTACCTATGTATTTATCTACTTGCACTGGAGTGCTTTCAAACTGCTAGGTTGTCAGGAGCTGGGACAGAGTAATGGGATCTTGCCCGTTGCAGGGAATTCAAACCACTGACCTTCTGATCAGCAAGCCCAAGAGGCTCAGTGGTTTAAACACTCAGAGGCACCCAGCTGGACACTGTTGGAAATTAAATGCTTGAGTAGGTGGACCAGCCTACCATTTTGCTACTACAAAAATTATTGCAGAATGGGAAATAAGAGTTTATCTGGAGCTAATCTACGGCAACTTGAAATGATGGGATAGGTTTTGCTGTAGAGCACTGTTCAGTGGTTCAGTGGGCCAGAATAGTGCCTATCTGTCCTTTGAAAATGAGTTGAAACATGTCTTTATTTCTAACAAAAATGGGAATACTCCAGAAATGTGCAGGAAAAATCACTCATCTCACATCCCGAGATGTCTTATTCATTATACCTTCATTGTCCTGGACTGTGAAATTTGGATTAACAGCAGCTAAACTGAAGAAAAACTTTTGTCCTCCGAGTGGATCATCTTTGTCAACTGCACTTATGGTTTGTATTAGCTGCAGAGAAGGGCAAGGAAAAACAAGTTGACATTTGTGAGAAGGTTGTCTGACTGCTCTGAGAAGTACAAGTGGCCTTGAAGGACGCTTTCAAAATATGTTTCTTTGTTTGCATGGTACGTAACATTTATCCACCCCAAACAACACAGTAAAGTCAAATGCACATTGCATTGTTTACTTGGTTTCTTTTTATTCCCCAGAGCTTTAGTAGGCAACCGGAGGCCCAGGGGCCAAATCTGGCTTCAGAAAACTTTGCATTTTGCCCCATATCCTTTATGGTCTCTCCCGCCCCCCAACACACTATTATTCACTTGAGCTGCTTTCTTCCAAAAGGAGATATAGGCAAAGAACTCTTTAATCTACCTTCCTGCAGTAGGAACACGTAAGACACGTTTGGATAGTTTATCCTTGCCCCATCTCCCACAATGTTATGCCTTTCAACTCCTCTGCACAAGAAAACAGATGGGAAAATGTAGTGGGAATGCCTAAGGGAAGGACTTTGGCTACCATGATTCATCTTTATGCAAATCAACTTCAGATTTATCTTAACTATGATTTACTGAAACAAACCAACTTCAAACTGTGATTTATGAAGCCAGCCTGTTTCAACGAGCCATAAGCTGAGATTAATCAGAGTTTAGGCTTCACATGTAACACTAAATGGCGGTAAAATGAAAATTTCCGCTCTCCTCCTTGCGGCTGCATTGAAAAAGGAGAGGGAAAGCGAGAGTAAATGAAATCAAGCCTTAGTCACATAATAATAAACCATGGTTGGACGTTCTATTCAAATGATTTTGTTATGTCAGAACCTAAACAAACTGCAATTAATCTTAATTGTGAATTAGGGAAGCAAGCCAACTTTAAACATTGGTTTACAATTCTGGTTTGTCCCCCTATACCATACTTGAGGTTCAGCTAACCACAGTTTCCGGTTCCTACATAATTATAAACCATGGTTAACTCAAATCAGAAGCAAAAGTTTCTGGCCTTTTTGCAACCCCAGCAATGGAACTCAGTGGGTGATATTGGGCCAATAGCTGTCTTTCAGCCTAATTTAGCACATAGGATTGCTGTGAAGATAAAATGAAGAGAGGGAAAATCATGTGTGCCACTTTTGTGCTCCTTAGAGGCGAGACAGGATAGAAAAGTAATAAATAAATGCAGAACTCCCAACTAAATCAATATGGAAGAGGAAATTAAAAAGTCTTTGCCTATTTATCCATTTGGGAAGAATGCAGTTGTGGACACAGTCAAATGCTACAGACTCTTTAGCCTTTGTTCAGTTCAAAATATGAAATCTGTTGAAAATTAGTTGTAAACCAGAAAAATCAAAAAGCTTCTTTCTGCCCCGCACAGGTATGTGACTTGCAATTTGTTTTGTAGCCTGGTCATATGTATTGAATTCAGCAGGCATGGCATAAACTTATGACCTCAAATGTGGCATGGGAAGTCATGTAAATACATCTAAATCTTACTCTATTTGTCACCCTATATTTGAGAGCTTATATTGGGGTTTGGCTAAAGCAGCAGTTCTCAACCTGTGGGTCCCCAGATGTTGTTGGACTACAACTCCCATCATCCCTGAGCTCCGGCCTTTCTAGCTGGACGTGATGGGAGTTGTAGTCCAACAACTTCTGGGGACCCACAGGTTGAGAAAGGCTGGGCTAAAGGAATCCAAGGTGCTACCCGAGAAGTTGGTGGCTGGGGGGTGCAGTCTGTTCTCACTACAGGTGAACTCAGGGGCGATGTGTCCCTTTTCACCATCTGAGGTGAAATGAGAAAGTGCTGCTCTCTGCCCCCCATGCCATTGTGCCCCACCCCCTATTTCCACCATTGCTGGGGAGTGCCCCCACTCTAGCCAAACTTGGCAAGAGCTGAGGCGTCCCTCAAAGCATTGCCTCTTGTATTCTCCTCCCAGGGGCAGGGGGAAAGATGAGCAGCGGGTGCTTTCTCATTGGTGGGCTGACTCTGGGTTGAGTAAAAAGGGAGATGTTTGCTCTTTCTGGCTTCAGGGTGCTGCTAAAGTCACATGACATCACCCTGAGGACAGAGAGTATGGGACCATTTTTTTCCTGTCCCCAACCTGCCTGCTGCTCTGTCTGCATGGGGAGTGGGTGGCTGGCTAATAATATTAATATTAATATTAATATTTTGTTTATACCCCGCCCATCTGGCTGGGTTTCCCCAGCCACTCTGGGCAGATTCCAACAGAACATTAAAATACAATAACCTATTAAACATTAAAAGCTTCCCTAAACAGGGCTGCCTTCAGATGATATTCCAGTGCATGCCTTAGCTGCTGACAGAAAGTGCCTGGCAGCACAAATGAAAATGGCGAGTCGAGGGAGAAGTTTGTCAAATTCCCCCTCACCCTTTCTGAGTAGAAAATTCTGGCTCGGCCTCCGATAGAAGTAAACCTGTGGAAGGATGGCACACAAAAGCTTCCCTTAGATACTCCTCGGCTCCCCTCTGACACGAAACATAATAGAAGCAATGCCATATTATTCTCCCTGCCAATTCTGGCAAACCCTTAAAAAAAATCCTCCTCCCTAAAGGTGATAACGTGTTTCCCTCCATCACCCCCACAAAAGTGGAAAAGCAGTTTGGGGGAAGGAGTGATTTGAGCAGACAAACAGCAGGAAGTGAAAGAGTTAAGGTGCCCCTGTCCTCTCACTCTTCCCATTTTCTTTCTCCTCAGGAGGCACAATTGTGAGTTGCAAGAAGCCCTAATGGCCGGTACTTTGCCGCTCTTGAAGGCAAAGTCATTTCACATTGATCCGAGTACAGTTCAAAGCATCTCCTAAAGAGGCAAAACAAAACAAATGTTTGTCCTTCTGATGCAAACAACTTTTTATGCTGTTGTGTGATTTGCCCACAGAAAGCCTTTTGAGATAAAAAACCAGCATTTGCATAAAAATAGAAGGCTGACAGTGATGTTTTAGAACACTATCCATGTCAAGTCAAAGCGCAATTGAGTTATGTAGCAAAGGATGCTTAAAAAATGATTACAAATTACTGTTTGTAACATATAACACTTTCCTCCATGAAGGCGGCACTGAATGCAATTAAGAGGGTGTTTTTTTAAGGACAAATCCGAGAAAACAACTGAAGAGAAACTGTTTTCTTTTGGGGGGTGGGGGGAGGGAGAAAGGAGCTTGATGTCTTCCGAGCACAAAGCTTCCTTTTGTGGATCTGCAAGAAAGTCATTTGGTAATTTACATGTTGATGTAGCTGGGAAGCATTGCTGTACAAGGCTGGAGTCTGATTTGCTGGCAGCCATTTTCCCCCTTTTCATGTTAAGTTCCCCAAACTGCTCTCAAAAGCAATCTTTCACTCTTAAGGAATAGACACATTATTGTAAATGAATGACTTGGTGCCTGTTCCCATAACAGAACCAAAGAGCTTTAAACATTTCCATAAATTGACTTACTTGGCCCGCTCTCGCATTTTCACACACAAAAGTATCATAGAACACAGCAAACTGTGGTGCGTTGTCGTTCACATCCAATATCCGAACGTAAACAGAAACGCGAGTCATCTCTTTGGGGTTATCTGTCAAAGCAGGGGGAAATCAGTAATCTTTTTTAAAAATAGATTCTCTTTTCTATCAGAACTAAACTAGGAGGCCATGGATACATGGCACTTTAAGAACAAAAACGGGGGGGGGGGGACCCAGCAGTTTCACTATATGAATTTCTACCAGCTAAGGCAGAATCTTTGATGCCACAACTATAGATGACTAAACTAGGAGGTCCTTTAATGTGTTACTCATACTTTTTGAGGGAGAGTCTCACCCTTAGGGGACCCTCTGACAGCATCCGTAGGATGTGGGATCTGCCGCAATCCATGCTCCTGTCACGCCACTCTGCTCACACAAAAGGCATGGGGGGGTCCCTACACCATAGCTCCTTCCCAGACCAGCATTGACCCTCCCCTAAACAGAAACAATTCTGACATGGCGAGAAGCTCCTAAGAGCCTACCTACATGGACTTCTCCAGTGTGGGTCTACCAGTGTCATGAAGGAACAGACACTGCAGCAGCTCCCACATACTGAAGCTTAACATCACATGAGGTACTGGGTCTTCCACATAAATCCAAAGAAAAATAATTTTGCACAATATTCTCTTCTCATGCAAACATGAAGAAAACACTTGCGTCAATAGCAATGAGCTTACTGATTTCAGCTGCTATCACACTAAGATTGTGCCACTGTGATATTTCTCGGTCAAGCATCTTGGAAGTATAAATAGATCCATTTCCAGAATGTATGTTGAAGATTCGGTCAAGGTCAGTGTGGCGATCCAAAGAAAACCTAAATTGGATCAAGTAGAGAAAGATTTGCCAACTGCACATGCACCACTTTCATCTTCCTATAAGAAACAGCCATTCCAATTCAGTGTTCAGACAGATGATGCATCACTAGAGTCGTGGAGCCATTGGGAAGCTCCCGATCCAAATTTTATTCAGACCTATCTCTTCCCAAGATTCTTAAGAAATCATGAAAATCTCTCTGCATCCACCCCCCCCCCATGACAGTTCCTGAAGCCATTTTGCATGATAGATCATGGACTCGATGATACAGAAGCACTTCCAATTCCCACTTGACTATTCTCATGCATGAAGCAGAAGAACCATGAGGAACGGAGCAGCCCCACAGGCGGCCATCAGAAATGCCTCTGAAATGTTACTGAGTCTATGTTCCCTTTGCTGAAAAAGTATCCAACTCATTGACATGTGATACATAAATTGCAATGCTAGGCTCACACTGGTGGTGGTATAAAACCTGATTCAACTTCTACTTCAGTGATATGTCTGTTTTTGCTCTCTCTTCCTCCTCATCTCTTATACTGACTATGATAATTTCCTCCCAGCTTTGTCCTCAATGTTATTTGCTTTCTTAATCTTTGCTCCCTTTCATTCTCTTCTCTTTTGGTGACAGATCCCTGTTTGCCCTAAACAACAGAAACTCAGTTCCATATAGCATGTGCAACTTTGGGTTCTGGGCTGTGCATGTGCTTTTAAGATGGAGGTCTTTCTCTATTCTTGATGTTGGCCTTTCTAATAAAGGTTCCATACAAAATGTTCAGAGTATCGATGCCTCAGAGTTGCACTTCCATGAAGAAAGCAACCCAAAGAAGGCGGCAGCATTGTCAGTATGAAAAGGAATTATTGCTCCATTTGCCGAGGCAGAAAAGATGTGTGCAAGCCTGTGTGCCAAAGACTTGTGTTAGCACAAATATATATAATCATCACTGAGGAAAATTCATAGTTAATCTCTGTTTTTTTATATGTACAGTGTTGCTGCATCAAGTGTTTTCTGCATTCTGTAAAAAGGTAGAACTGTAAGAACCAACAACTGTGCTTTAATAAGCAAAAAGGTAACTTTTCTTTCCCTGTGAACTGAACAAGATAAATACAGTCATTTACCTTTATTAGCTCTATTATCTCTGTGGTCCAAAAATATTTAATTAGAATGGTACAGTGTAACCCTGCTGCTCCTTCCTCAAACCCCAGATAATTTCATGGAAAATTGCAAAAATTGTAGGGACAGTTTTTTCCCCGTCCATTACTATCAATAGTTCTAGTTAATTATTCACCTGCAGCTTATTTCACAGAAAACAGGTGATTTGGCCATACTGAACAATGGATTGCAACTGACATCAGTGTCAATGTTTCCTCTTCATTATCTTCTCACAAACCAGCTATTTATTTTGGCATGGCCGGATTGTGTTGGGTAGGGGTAAGGGGTACGTTGGCAGGGAATAATTATTGTTAAATTCTTTGGATGCGAAGACCTACCTTACTATATAATAAAAGTGCAAAGCTGTCAACATGCAACCTCCTCCATTGGAGGATTTGTCCTGCTGAACCACAGTCCTGGATGTGCATGAAATCAGGGAACCCGCTATGATATGAAAGTTGTTTTTCACTTTGTTCTCTATGCAGTAGGACAGCTCTTAAGATAACATAACAAAGTTTTGCACAATAGCTCCAGAGATTACGGAACAAGTGTTTGTCTATGTTTGGAGGGAAATTGAATGCCATTTTAAATCAAGATGGGAGACTGCACCTTTCAAAACTGCAGTGATTTTTTTTTTTGGTTTCTTGGTGCCTGCCATTAAGCCTCTCCTCCTTACAGAGGGGAGGAGTTGTGAGCAGGAGCTGTTTCCCACGTTGGCAGGGGGCGTTCCAGCCCCTGCCCAGCTGGCCTGGCCTGGCTGCTGTGCCATGACCCCAGGCAGCCAACCAATCAGGTGGAGGTTTGGGGGCGGGGTTTTGCTGCTCACATGTGGCCACGGCAGCACTTCCCTTTCATTCCGCTGCTGGTTTTCATTGGATCAAGACCTCTGGAGGAGCTTGTTGTTTTTCGGCTGGTTTGGGAGTGTGGCCAGCGAGAGCCAGGAGGAGCCATTCCTGCAGGGAAGCAGGGGCTCAAGCATTTTGTCTTGGCAGCAGATTTCTGAGTGGAGTGCCTCAAGGGAAGCGGAATCATCAGCGGTTTGGAAACCGTGAGGTTTGGGGACTGGCTTGGGGGGGGGCGGGGTGGTTGCCTTGCATTTTCTGTGGGTTTCTGTTGCTTTGTCCCCTCTGGGTTGAACTGGCAAATTGGCATCATCCACTTGGTTTTTCGCCTACCTCGTAGCAAATCGTCACAACTTTTAGGTATAGGCGGTTAGGCATTGGAATATGTTTGTGTATTGGAGGGCAGGGTGTGGCCACCGCCTTCCCCTCTACTTTATGGGTATTCCGGTAAAGGAATCCGGCGGTCGTGGATCCCGTCTGATGCCCTTGCTGGTGGCTAGGGCCATGGCACGACCCCCGCTGACATCAGGGGGAGCTTTCAGTTGTATTTGCATAAACAGGCTCCTCCCACTGGTGGTTAACCCTTGTTAGACTCACCACTCCCTGAGGGGGTGGAGTCATGCTCTGTTATTTTATCCAATGCCTAAGCCAATACCTCTCGCATGCTGTAATCAATAAAGTTGTGACCTTTTTTTAGCTCATTAACCTAATATACTGTGTCCATGTGTCTTTCTTATCCCCAGGTGGGTGGCGGGTCCTTGAACCACAACTTAGAAATTATTTCTTCTTGTGGATTCCTAAATAGTGAATCTGGATAGCTGGATTTGAGGAAAGAGGTATTTTTTCTTTTCTTTCCTAGGAAAAACATCAGGTAATATATCCTATAGAAATATTAACTGGTTTTCTGATGCCATATCCAAGCTTGCCGAATACATTTGCCAGTACTTGTTTGCCCATTTTTTCTGCCGTACATTCACATCTTTCATTAGCAGTTGCTGAAATTCCTATTGTCATTCCAATAAATATCCAAACTGCATGGACAGACATTAATAAAGCTGTCATATAATGGAAACAATAGAACAGGATGAGAGAGGAGCTTATGCCAATACAGAGCTTCAGGTCTTGGCATGGCCAGCTAACCTTCCTTTTCAGCTCATGTTTGGCTTATGCTATTGTCAAATATGACTGAAATTGATTAAGAAGCCAAACCAGAGTTCTCGTTACTTCTTGGTTGTATAAATATCACATATAAACAGCTGAGGAGGAGAAGTAAAATAACATGCTTCTGAAAACAAAACAAATCCATTGAGCTGAACCAAATATTCATGATAATGCTCCATTGTTCTCTGAACATTCATTGAATATGTAATAGCTGCAAAATGATATCTAACAATTGATTTTGAGATGTGTTGTCAATAATTACAACAATATTTGGCAGTAGATGGTATGCTATACTTAAGTCTTGGACTGCATTTGAAAATTGATATGCTATGACATAAGTTGAGTTTGGACAAGCATATCTGCTTAATAAGCTGAAATATCAGTGAATTGATTAGTTGTGCTTATGGGTCTTTGCTCCTGCTTTTACTTGAGGAATGGAATGAATAAACCAGCAACTCTTCCATTAACTGTAGTTGCCTGGTAACAGCTTCAGAATAAGCCAGGACAATATACCGTGGTTTGGTTGAAAACCTAGCATGTCCTGAAGCTGTTAACTATGGTTTTCCAATTAGTAAAAAATGGGAAATAATGAAATATTTCATTGTTTGCTCCCACTGCGAAAGGGACATTCTAACTCACCCATTTTGAGATTTCATATTTGATGTTTGTCAAAACATTTGAATGTCAATTTTAGATTTAAAGTTGCATAGTCAATTTCAAAATTCTGCGTTTCAAGTTTAGGTTTTTTGGGGTAACATTTTGGCTCTACAAAATAAGCTTGGGGGGGGGTGACACAATGTTGTTTTGTCTTGTGTAGTGAGTGAGATATATACCTATAGACTAGTTTTTTGGCCAAAAGTAAGTATCTGTCCCTAATCGTATCAGAGCAGAGACAGAAATGAGAGACAGAAAGTCACAACATTGCCTTGAAGTTTCATACTCTGGCCTGATAGGCTTCTGAGAATGTCATTCTACATGATCAAAACAATCTTCTTCAAGAATACAGTATCACTCAGTCCAGGATAGAATACCTTAGATATTCCTCTTTATCAAGTACCTCATGCCTACATTTCTATGCATCTCGCCAGTCAGAGTAACAATATCAGCTGAAATAACTAGATATAAAGATGTTATCAATCTAGGGTTTTTGATTCTGGCCTTTACCTGATAGGACCTGCAGCAGAATCTGGATCTCGGGCCATCACAGTGCCTATGATTGTGCCCACCTCAATATCTTCATGGATCTCAAAAAGGTAAGAGGATCTGCTGAAAATGGGAGGCTCGTCCACATCTTCCACTGATATTTTCACAGTGGTTGTATCTTTGAAAGGTCCGAGGTAATAAAATCGTGGGTCAACATATAGATTCTCTGCCTCTACTTTCAAAGTATATAGCCTTCGATTCTCATAGTCCAGTGGCTGTAAGACAACATAGGGAGGGAACAAAGTCAATAACACAATGACACAACAATGTGTTAGGTGTCAGAAAGTCACATTGTGAAAAGTGGGATAGCATAGCAAGCACCATTTGCCATTTATGTAATGGCAGCAATATCCCAGGTACCAAAGCACATACAATAATGACATATTCCAAGATACATATTGCTTGCTTTATGGTGTTGCACAGGAGTGGCTAACATGTGCCACTCCCAAATGTTGGGGTACACCTGACTGTTGACCATGGGTTGGATGGGAGTTTAGAGTCCCGGATGTAGTGGGTTAAGTGTTGGGTCTCTATCCTGCTTTTGCCATGGACAAGTAGTCATGCATAACAACTAGTGACTCTAGATGGGGAGGGCAAATTTGTATTAAACACACACACACTCATCTAGCCAATTTGATGAGGACTGGGTGATCACGCAACAGAGGATAGGATTTTACATGTGCACTGGAAGGCTTCTCTTGAATACTGATTTCCCTTGAAGAACTGGAACGCTGGGTTTAGACTGGTAGGGCTAGCCCAACCGTTAGGCAGAGTTAAACATGCAGCTCAGATACACCCCGGTTCTTCCTCCTGAGCCATTCCCCTCTGTCAGATGACAGAGTTGTCCATGCACAAGGCCTGTCCTAATTAGCCAGTTGGCTCTCACAAATTGGAAAGAGATTTTCCACTGTCGTGCTTCTGTATATGAAATGGTGAGAGGGCACCATCTTGCCACTAGGCAAAGCAGTGGCAGACTTTGGGCTCTCAAATTTCAGCAGCACCTTTTGGAACGCTAACATTTGGTGGTGCCCACCACCTCTCACAGTCCGTTCTGTAGCATCACTGTGGTGTCCTTTGCAGTGTTCTGCCCAGCACCACCGTACCGACAACATCACCCTAAAACCAACTCTGGGAAAGAGTGAATAGGCCCTCTCCTCCTCCTCCTCCTCCTCCCCACTTGCCATCTCCCTGTTGACACAACCTGCATCACTGCTCAGAGGAAGAAAGCAATTTGAGTGGAGACTGCTATTATTTTTCCTTGCTTTTGGAACTGCTCACAGAAGAAGCAGAGGGTTCTGGGAGGTGGCCGTAAGCCTCCTGCTGGGATCTGAGTAGTTGCCCAATGGTGCCAGTCCTGAATTTGGCACTGAATCAGACTCTTCTTCCAATTGGGGGAAAGGATGGGTGTGCATTGTGGGGAAGATGTCCACCACTAGAACAGTTGCCTGGCCACTGAATCAGCTACTCATGTCCTCCTTGCCCTCAATAGTACCACAGCTGAAGCAGGAGCACTGCATAATTGTTCAGACCATGAACTGGCACCCACACTGTGGAGAATGCACATGTGCCAAAATGTTATGATCCAGTTTAGTACCTAGGGATCTGTTTTCCCCAGCCATTTGCCAAGAAAGTTTGAAATGAGTGTCTCAAATGCAATTTGAGAAGAGGCAGATCTACACATCATTGCATCAGATCAGAGGTGGTGACATGACTGAATGCCATTACACCTGGAAAACTTGATTCCAGAGAAAAGGATTCAAGCTTTCCTTTTGATATGCTAGCTTTGAAAGTGCAGGGTTCCTCCCTGCCCACTGGCAAATAATTTTAGAAACACTGTCCTCAATGAAATGACCTGGTCTAGTCTTAGCAGCATATCTGCTGTTTTTGTGACCTTGGATTCATTGGGCAAGTCACTACTTCCTAACTACCTTCTAATGCAATGGAGTGGTTGCAACTATACAATGAGACAATCCCATCCATGCCTGTATGAATCAAATTGTCAGAAGGATTTGATGTAAAAACAAATACTTCACTTGACTCTTCTGTCTTCAGCTCTCAAGTGCATACGCAAGTAGCGAATCTTTAGGTAATAGCAGTTTCCATGCAAAATCCAGGGTCTCATCATCAGCACCATATCAAGCAGTTTTATAGTCCACAACATTGGTCAAGTGACCACCATAAGGCTAATTTTATGAATATATATATATATATATATATATATATATATATATACACATATATATATCCTGAATTTAGATTATCTTATGGAAAATCTGTGCATAACCTGGTTCATTTACATTGCATTTCATGAATCTGACATCAGTGAAATTTTGGCAAAATATATGTGACATTTTGTCAGCAAGTGCTTTTTAAAGGGAGAAGATGAAAAGTTTGGAGTTATAATTAGAATACTTCTTTTTTTTGGGGGGGGGGTTGGATAGACAAGAGATTCCATTCTCCGATTTCTCTGTGACTGCAGATGAAAAGTGCTAGCTAATTAATGATTTCCAGGGAATGAACAAGCTGAGAGAAAGTGCAGCTTGTCTGACATTGGAGCAAAGCTTCATTAGCATGCACAATATAACAGAGAGATATCAAAAGGTGGACCCAAAATGGATTCTGGAGACATTTTTGAATTTATTTCCCCTCAAATCTTTAAAGTTAAATTAGTGCTCATGAAGGATGCCAGACTGTCTCAGCGCTTAAATCTTCTATTTACTCTGAAGTTATATTACGTTGGCAACAGACGCTCCCTTCCCGCATTATTGAGACTCTCCTCCCTCCATCTTAACCTTGTTCTCAAGGAGAACTTTACGTTGTACATGCTAATTATGTCTCAGATATATTCTCAGGTTTTCAAACTGCCAAAGGTACTGCACCTCAATGCAACAATCTGTCTTCTGAATAGATACTGAGTGGGTGACACATAATAGCTATGTGGACACCCATTCATTGTGGCTATGCAGGACCTTAACCCCTTGAGAAACTGCTCTGGAACTATGAAAACTCTGTTGGCTTCCCACAAATCTCTAAGGCACTTCCTCTCAAATTTTCCATGAATCTTGCTTTGGCAAAATATGACAACAGCTCTAATGATGACAGCCTTTCCTCTTTTGATGCAAATATGAAATACTTTGCATTTGGGTCCACTCTTCTACCTCTGAATGCATTACTGTTAAAATATTTTTCCACCAATAAGCAACCTTTGCTAAATTGAAAGGTATGGCAAATAACTTATGGTTACCAGACGTCCCTGTTTCCTGGGGATAACCCCCAGATTCACAAAATCCCTCCCTGGAATGTCCCAGGATTTCATTTAGTGTCCCTGGATTTATATTTTAAGTGTTCCAGATTTATTAGTAGGGAATGAATGTTGCGTGATTGGTTCAACGGCACAAGACACATCATATGGGGACTTCCGGTGAGGCAAAATGGCAGGCGCCACAGCAGCAAGCAGCTCCTGAAGCCAGCCAGAGCCAACTGTGCTACCAGTCTGGCTCCGGGCTGCTGAGACTGCTGCTGCTGCTGCTACTGCCAAGGGGGAACCGGGGACGCCTGGCACGTCCACTGGGGGAGCCGTTGACACGCACACCCCACAACCCAAATCAAGCCAGGAGTGAGAGCACCCGGTCGACTGCCCAGCAGTGCTCCGGGGCCAGGAAAACCCTGGAGCCGACGCAGGGAGAAAGGGGAGAGGAGAAGGAGAAGGAAGAGAGAGAAAGAGGAAGGAGAAAAAAGAGGGGAGCCCTGACCTTGCCGCACTGCTGCAGGTGCCACCGCTGAGGAGGAGAGGTAGGAGAGCACCGGGAGGACAAGGACACGTGGCCGATCCCAGGCCTGACCTGAGCCTACTTCATGGCACCTAGCGCTCCAAGAGAGCAGGCCGGGACCCAGAGGAAGGTCTGGCGACAAAGGAGACCACAGAAGAGAAGTGTCCCTCGATTCTTTAAAAAAATCTGATAACCTTAAAATAACTGCACAGCTATAACTGTGGAATCTAAAACAGAGCTACATGGCATTTCTGGACAACCAACAAACTTTTAATAATGGTTCCAACCCTGCAAAATATAAAATGTAATTTCAAAGCTGATTATTTTAAAGCGCCCAGTAATTCATGGAGATAACACACACCTTTCGCACTGTTATAACTCCTTCCTGTGTCTCCTTCTGTGTAACAATGTCAAACATATCCCTTCCATCACCATCAATAATGCGGTATTCAAGTTCTGCGTTCCTCCCAATGTCTGCATCAGAGGCTTTTATGGTTCCAATGGCAGTGCCAACCGGGGAGGATTCTGGGATACGAAGGTGGACTGAGCCTGTAAAGAAGAAACAGTCAGAAATACATAAGCATTTGTTAGTTACAAATCATGCGGGATTAACAGCAGAATCCCATAATGTCTACCCAGAATCAGAAGAATATCCCACTGAATTCACTGGAGCTTACTCCAAGGTATAAGATTGCAGTTTCATGACTCCATAGCTTTAGCCATTAATTCAAGAAAGTAACACTTTGGGTTATACTGATTTCATTCAGGAGACATAACTTTTGAAAACCTTGTATGTGAGAAGGTTTATTCTATCTGTCCAACTTCCCAATGGGCTTTTCCAACAGCGAGCCCCTATCATAACGTTAGGTTTGAACATTTAAAGTAGATTAAAGGGCTCTGCCACCATTACTGCAACAAATCCAGTTAAAAATGGACTTTTGCGGTTTGGGAAGTGATGTGAAATGTATTGCAAAGTGTGGAATGAGTGAATGATTAATGGGAAGGCTTGAAGCAGGTCTTAGTTCTGGAACATTAGTTTTTTACACCAGAATTTATCCTATATATGCCAGTCTTTCTCATTTTGAAGTTGACTGAATCCACGAAGTCATGCCTTTAATCCAGCAAGCCTGTCTTATTTGAAGTTCACTTTCAAACATGGCATTAAAGCACTTTTAACAAAGGAGGAGCAGATGAGTTGCCCAACAGCACCAACAGTTGCTTGGCTGCAGGTAAAATTTCACCTAATTAAGTGTATATTCAAACACATATTCAAACACATGCTTCCAAAAATGCTCCCCAGTTTTGTTTAATACTGATGCTGGAAAACAGTTCTCATGTCTTCGGGAGCTTCCCGTAAGTGTGAATAAGCCTTCCTCATTGATATTAATATTACAGCATTCTGATAATAACTGCATAAGAGGTGTTCAATTTCATTAGTCCCCTTGATACATGGTCAAGTCAGCAAATCAGATAAGAGATAAGAGCAGTTTAGTGTACAATTTCACATTTGACATGAATTTTATTGATTCTTCTTTTAAGAAAGAATCAATAAGGCCTTCAGCACTTCCATGAATCAAGCACTTTTTAGGCCCTTTCATGAACCCATTAGTTTTGTTACTTTTAACGTGATGTAAGTCTCATTAATAAAGAGTCTGTCAAGGGAAAGGGGAGGAATGCTTAATAAAAAAAGATGACCCATTGCAGAAGGAGGGAGTTTGGGTTATGTATGCATCTGTAGATATAAATTTGCTCTGAAGGGACTTAGCAAACATCCTCTACAGTAGATGGAAGGAGCGTGTGACCAAAATAACAATGGAAATGAAATGAAATACAGGAAATCTATTTAGAACAGAGAGTGAACCTTCAGCTGATAACATACTGATGTCTAGAATACTGTATTATTCGCTTTCATACGAATCACAATCCCAGTACCAAAACATATGCGGGGAAATACTAAATAAGCTATGTCAATCAGTCAGAAGAAAACATTGTTTTCATAGGAACTAAGCAGACTTTCCTCTGAAAACAATGTACACTGCAACAATTTTTTAAAAAAATCAAAATGCTCACGGTTAAAGGGTTATGATTGCAGCTATGCAGATTACAGTTTACTTTCCATTAAGTTGTAGGAAAACTTGATTACAATAAGATCAGAAAGCTGAAACATTATCCCACTTAACCTCCCCCCCCCTTTTCTGCTGCCGGTGCTTAAAATTGGTCTAAACATCTGAATATTATTGTTGATTGCCTGCATTCTATATGCACATTTTATGTGAACTGTGCAGAAGTAGCAAATGGGTTCTCTCTGTGTGTGCATGGAGAACCAATAACATGGCATGTGTCATTCCCACATCTGGCCCCCGATAGACAAGTCAGCCTTCAGAGATGAAGCACACATTACTAAGATGAAAAAGGTAAAGGACCCCTGGATGGTTAAGTCCAGTCAAAGGCGACTATGAGTTTGTCACGCTCATCTCACTTTCAGGCCGACGTGTGCATGCACACAAAAGCTCATACCAATAACAAACCTAGTTGTCTCTAAGGTGCTACTGGAAGAAATTTTTTTATTTTGTTTTGACTATGGCAGACCAACATGGCTACCAACCTGTATAATTTAAAATGCAGTTACCACTCCAACCTGTCCAATGTGGACAAGGAAAGCACTGTCAAGTCTTTAAGTTACTTGTTTGTTGGCAGTTCAATGATAAGTAAAGAGCAAAGTCCTTATCAAGAGGAAACAATACAAATATGTAAGACCATTCAATGGCAAACTTTTAAATACATTAGAAAGGAACTTTGCTGAGTGGAACTTACTTGTAGATAACAGTACAGAAAGGGTCTTTGTCATAGAGAATTACATTGCGGCATTATACACCATGACAGTGTGTAAACTCTATTCCCTCGTATGTTATTGCAGTGCTGCAGAACCTGCTATTCTGTGGCTTGATCTTGACACTGGAACGGGAAGATCTGGACCTTCCTTTCCTATCAGATGCACCCTTCCTTCTAAAGCTTCTGAACAAGAGTCTAAGTCAATGTTACCATAGTAATCTCAGATTCTTGTATTCCTTTTGACACTTGGGAGCAATAATAACTCAATTTAAACAAGCAAAATCATTCAACTGATAATGGTAAAATAATGGGTGCTGCAAAATCAGCCACCTTTGGTATGTTATCAAAGGGTTGCAGAAGAATGCGACGGCACCAAACAAATGGAAAACACAAAGGAAACTGTTTCTCGATACCAAGAGTTTTCAGTCTCTCTAAAATATGCTTTCTGGGGGGTGGGGGTGGAGAGAGAAAGATTCAATATATTACAAAATACAAACTCCCTCTGTTTTCCTTGTGCTTTTTCAATACAGTCATACCTCGGGTTACAGATGCTTCAGGTTGCATTTTTTTGGGTTACGGACTGCCGAAACCTGGAGGTACCGAAACGGTTTCCAGGTTTTGGCGGCTGTGCATGCGCAGAAGTGCTAAATCGCAACCCGTGCATGTGCAGTTGCTCCGCTGCGGGTTGCGAACACTGCGAGCTGTGAATGTGCATCCCACACGGATCACGTTCACAACCCGAGCATCCACTGTATAGACAATGTTATTCAGGAGGCATTTTTAAGCCTGGTTGTCATTGTTTTCTTAAAAAAAAAACAACCCTTGGTAGCTCAGGAGGCAGGGTTTAAAAAACTGAGTAGTACTTTTACTAATGTGCTTTTAGTAACATTTATTTACTTTAATTCAGTATGCATATGTTACACCTCCAACAATATTTTTAAAAGGGATTCTCTTTTCCAGATATTTCACCAAAGAAGGATTGAACAGGCCTTTTGCGGATCAATAAATATGCCAATACAAATATTCCGGGCACCTCTGTTTTATGTTATGGCATGCTAAGACTGAATATCACCTCACACAACTTGCAGCAGATCTTAAAGTTGTTAAAAATAATGCATCCATGGGACAGCTGGAGGTGGGGGCTATGCTCCTATTTCTTCCTCTCTCAGGCTATGTGTCTCTCTCTGTGCATGAGTCCATCTACAAAGTTAATAAGTCAAAAGAATTATTCTAGAGAGTGCAAGTCTAACCAAAAGTGACATGTGGATGCTAAGTTCAAATGAGAATGTGTGTGTGTGTGTGTGTGCAAGTGTGTCTGTGTAGAGGAGGGAGGTTTGAAATGTCCATTGAAGCCTACGTTTGACCATGACATGAACCTCAATATTACCACGGGCCTTTCCTCGCAACTTGAGCCAATGCGTAGTAAAAGCTGCACAGAATTGGGCGGGTGCTCAGCCAGCACGCTGGTGCTTCCAGGGCAGTGCCTTGCACATCGGGACCCAGATCCGATCACCTGGGTGGTGCTCAGTAATTTTCAAAAAAAGCATACAGCGAGAAAGATGGCAAGCAAGTTAAGAGAGTGCAAGAGGAGTTCTGTGCAGTTCAGTAGGCCAGATACATGCCTTTATCCTGCTGCGTGTTGTATGTATGTCTCATTGACTTTAGCACAGTAACCTGATTATTTACTAGGTCGGAAGCACATACAGAAGAATGTGCCTTCTACACCCATCCCACTGGCTTGGGTGCAGCATCTTCATCCATGCCCCAACTAGCGTGCTGCTGCGATGTCACGATGTGGGGGCCAATTTGGTGCCCCTGCCTGCCACAATGGCTTCTCATGCAAAGTCATTGTACAATTAATAAAGGTGCAATTTCCTCCTTTGCATCCAATCACCCTATTCTGGAAAAGTCATTTTTGTCATATCTATTTCTTTAGTATGGAGTCTAGTGGAGAGATTACAAATTAAAATAAATTTAAAAGTTTGTGTTGTTTAGTCTAATCGGAGGAATTAATCTGCTGAGCATAGGAATTGTGGTGCTCTGTACATTATCTTCTTTCTTTCCTCCTCCTCCTCCTCCTCCTCCTCCTCCTCCTCTTCTTCTTCTTCTTCTTTAAAAAAGCTTTTCAACTGTAATCCAGATTGGTGTTAGAACTGCATTGGCCTAGTAAAAAGGTAAAGGTAACGGACCCCTGACAGTTAAGTCCAGTCACGAACGACTCTGGGGTTGCAGCGCTCATCTCACTTTACTAGCCAAAGGAGCCAACGTTTGTCCATAGACAGTTTTTACGGGTCATGTGGCCAGCATGACTAAGCTGCTTCTGGCAAACCAGAGCAACACACAGAAATGCCGTTTACCTTCCTGCCAGGGCGGTACCTATTTATCTGCTTGTACTTTGACGTGCTTTCGAACTGCTAGGTTGGCAGGAGCTGGGACCGAGCAACGGGAGCTCACTCCGTTGCAGGGATTTGAACCGCCGACCTTCCGATTGGCAAGCTCTAGGCTCAGTGGTTTAGACCACAGCGCCACCCGCGTCCCTTTTGGCCTAGTAATGATGCTTAAATTCAGGAGTCAGAAGTGAACTCTCCCTGCTTAGAAAAACAAGTCATTATTAACCAAGCCCCTAAATTTGGGTTTGGCTTGTAATGACCCATCTTGGTGCCAAAACTCATTGCCATTCAATTGCAATTCTCCACTTTCCATGGGAAAGGACAGGGTTGTAGGAATGATAGGGAGAGCTAGTTTGGTGGGCTTCAGCAGCTTTCAAGATCTCGTCTTTTAAGGTATTGTTGGGTCTTGATAATTCTGAGTCTTCTCAGAAAGAGCCCATTGCTTCTGGGGAGCCCAGGAAATGGAGTTTCCAATGCCTCTCTACTTGCGTGCCGAGGTCCCCAGGGCCACCCCAATAGCTCACACATCACACAGAATTTTTTGTTTAAGATTTTTGGCATAATTTTGGCCACAACTTTATTGAAATACAAATTTGTGAGTGGTTGCTTAGGCATTGGTTGTGACTATCTGCCCCCACCATGGGGGACAGACTGACATTCCGCACCATGCGAAAGTCAGAATAGGGGAATACACTTGGGGGTTACGCGGAGCAGGGAACCTGCCCTCACCCCAAATGCAACCAGGAGCTCATTGCTATGGCCCGAGCCCCCTTGACAGAGTGGACAAGCAATAGTTAGCCCCTGATTCCTTTAATGGAATCCCTTGCAGCAGCAGCATTAGAGGGGCAGGCACAGCCAATCCATGCCCCTCAACCAACCAAACCATAAACCAATGTCTAACCGCAACCTTACAAGTTGTGACAATTTGCTACGCAGTAGGCAAAAACCAAATGGCCCCAGCCAATCAGCCAGATGGACAAAATTCCTACCAGGCCCCTGCCCCAAGAGCAGACAACCCCATGACAGGCATAGCAAGGTCAAAGCAAACAACCCTAATTCTAGGGGGGGATGGGCAATCCGATGCACGGTCGAAAAGAGGAAGCCCTAGCCTCGTGCAAGGAGTTTTAGCATTTCTGGCTGTCAATCAACAAATGGCAACATTAACTTCTTCCCAACAAGGGAAGCCCCAATCGCATCAGTGGCCAATGAACAATTAGCCCGCCCCCAACTTTGGAGTGTCCTGGCGGCCCCCACTGCAACACGTGCTCTCCATGAAGGAGAACACGCTTTAACAGATTGACAGGTGTGAGTTTCTCAAGTTCTTCCATAGCAATTAACTGAATCCAGCAACAACTAGGCCTACATATGCAGTTTCTGAAGCCCCCCCATACCGACCCATTGGTGGGAAGGGCTTGGGTTCAGCTTCAAGGCCTTGATTTTTCCAAACTTCCTTGGGGAAAGCTCTGAAGTAAGATCCACAAACTCTTCCTGAGACCAGAAAGCATGGAAAAACTTCAACCAATTGCATTGCCATTGCAAAGGGGCTTTTCCACCGGTACTCATGCCTCCGTGATTTCAATAGGCTTAAAATGCACATAACTGTGAAGTGGATAGCCTTGTATTTACAAAGTTCCTTAGCTTTTTAAAAAGCAGCTTTTGCCCTCAGGTTAGATGTGTCCTGCTTCAGCATTTAATCAGGGAGTTCATTGTACTCACCCCTTCCTCTCTTTTTTTGTTTTGTTAATTCCATTGATAAAATTATTAATCTCCAGGTCGCAGCAAAGGATGATTCGTTCTTAAAGCTCTGCCTATTTCCCCCTCCCCTTCTCAATTCCCACCTTCACCCCAAATAGCAAGAACTATTCTGGGGTTTCTGCAACTGTGACTGCTGCTGCCCCTCCCCCAAACAAGGATGTCCCTGTTTCATTTAATTTTTGTTTTTAATAACAGCGAATAAATCCGTGTATAAGCCTTGTGTTCAAGTGTGTGCCCCATAATCTAGATTTGCTTTAAATTAAACCAGATGGCAGTCGCCTCACTCTTTTATTCTGATGCTTTTGTAGTACAGAAGGGCTATTAAAGGAAGCTTACTCTGGGGGAATCGAGGCGGATTGTCGTTGACATCAGTCAGGGTGATGTTGACTGTCGTGGTCCCCGATAATCCACCCATCTGGCCTCCCATGTCTTTTGCCTGAATGACAACTTGGTACTGCTCTCGGTTTTCCCTGTTCATGTTTGGTAGAGCTGTCCTGATGATGCCTTGGAAGAAAACAAGCAAGCATTTGTTAACATTGCTGGCATTCACTTTGCACGGCAAGTCACACACACAAGCACACAAATAATGTACCCATTATAACATTGAGAGGGTATATTTTAAAATGTCAGGAATAGTTCAGCAAAAGATTGGCCAACACACTGAGAGATCAAAAGCAAGCCGTAGAGAAAAATCTATATATTAGTGGGTACAAAACTCTTTGCATGTATTATTATTATTATTATTATTATTATTATTATTATTATTATTATTCTGCCCTTTAACCAAAGATCCCAGGGCAGTGTTTAACATTAAGAACATAATTTATGCAGCATAATAATAAAAACATAATAATAAAATAATCGTAATAAAAGCCCCCACCCTGTGTTTAACAGGCCATAGCTTATTTAATGGCTGATGGCCTGGGTAGAGAGGAATGTTTTTGGCTGGCATGTAAAGACATGAAATGATGGCACCAAGCAATCTCTTTGGAGAGAGCATTTCATTGATGGGGAGCCACCACAGAAAATGCCTGTTCTCATGTTCTCACCCTCCAAACCTTTCAGGGAGGGGGGACATATAAGCTAGAACAGTGGTACCTCGGTTTTCGAACCCAACCACCGATCTGATTTACAGTGGTACCTCAGGTTAAGTACTTAATTTGTTCCGGAGGTCCATTCTTAACCTAAAACTGTTCTTAACCTGAAGACCACTTTAGCTAATGGGGCCTTCTGCTGCTGCTGCGCTGCTGGAGCACGATTTCTGTTCTTATCCTGAAGCAAAGTTCTTAACCTGAAGCACTATTTCTTGGTTAGCGGAGTCTGTAACCTGAAGCATATGTAACCTGAAGCATATGTAACCCGAGGTACCACTGTACTAGTTTAGTAAATGCGGAGGACATTTTACACAGGAGAGCTGTAAAAAAAACAACCCACTCCTTCCTTGCCTATAAATCAGAAGCGGTACAGTCCAGAAATCTACCACCTCTCACTGTATACTGTATATAAATTAGCTCTTACATTGCATCCCCTATATTTTCCCCACCCCCTTTCTGTTTTCAAAGTAGAAAATTAATATATCCAGGATTTATTCAGATTACAGTCATCAAATTTGCATTTTAATACTTCTCACACTTTAGAGTTTCTGAAGTTACCAGAATATGGCATGCAGCTATAGGTACTCTGCTTCACTGAGTGACTGGCAAAAAGGCATTTGAGTCCTTCTTGAAATATAGAAAAATAGCAACAGCATCCCTGACCTGTTTCTGGCTCCACGGAGAAATATGGTTGGCCTTGAAGTATGCTATAGATGATTCTGGCACTGTTGCCATAGGAAGGGTCATCCGCATCAGTGGCTGTAACTTGCACAACAGAAGTACCTATTCAAATAAAACATAGTTCCGTCATCTCGAATGCTGAAAGCATTATACACTGCATTCAAAGTAGCCCTATTAACAACTCCAATTTTCCGTTCTGCCTCTGGAATCTCTTGTCATAGAAGCCCACATTTTAAAACAAAGAATCTTGGGTGGAGAGTCAAGGACATCTGGATACCAATTTATATCATCAGTGCCTCTGCATGATGCCCGGTGGGTCATGGACGCTCCAGCAATCCTCAAAGCATGGAGGCTAGCAAAGGTCTAAATCAACACAGTTTTGAGCTGCAGGACTCAAGGTTACCCAGATGCCTCTCCCTGCATAAATTAACGCCTGAAACGCCCCCTCCTTGCATGAATTAGTTGAGTGACACTAATTTCCCTTGTAAATGCTGAACAGAGTTTCAAGGCTGTATTTCATTTCACATTGACAAAAATATATTGTGGTGTAAGCAAAATAAAAATGGGTTCAGACACCACTGGTGGCAGACCATGGGGTCTCAAATTTCAGTGGTGTGCTGTGCAATACCAAATCTACACACACACACACCGGCTTCTCATGATCCATTCTAAATAATAACTGTGGCAACTCCTGCAGTGCCCCTGAGCTTCGGCACCTAGTGTGACAGAACCTGCCATGCTCCCCTAAATCCACATATGATACCATCACCCGCAGACAGAAAAGAAGGTTCTTGTTTTCAGTTCTAGGCGGTTTTCCCTGATTATAATATATAGGGGGAACTCAGTCCTGAAGGAGCGTCTCCAACCCTATCGTTCAGCCTGGACACTGAGGTCCAGCTCCGAGGGCCTTCTGGAGGTTCCCTCACTGCGAGAAGTGAGGTCACAGGGAACCAGGCAGAAGGCCTTCTCAATAGTGGCACCCGCCCTGTGGAATGCCCTCCCATCAGATCTCAAGGAAATACACAACTATCTGACTTTTAGAAGACATCTGAAATCTGCCCTGCTTAAAGAAGTTTTTAATGTTTGATGTTTTATTGTGTTTTAATATTCTGTTGGGAGCCGCCCAGAGTCTATGGGGGAACCCAGCCAGGTGGGCAGGGTATAATTTTTTTTATTTTTATTTTTATTACTACTACTACTACTACTACTACTACTACTATTATGGGACCTCTTTTTCTAGTAAGATAGCACTATTGGTATGTATTTTAGATGTCCCTCTGCCTACAAAACTAGTATGTCACAGAGAATGCCAGGACAGAATTCTCTCCCTTCCCATGCTAGTTTCCAAGGTGGAGGATTTTTTAAAAAATTATTTTTTACATTCAGTCATCTGCAGCCTCACCTGATGTCGGAAATGGCAAAGGAATGTAAGGATCTGCTTTACCCTTGCATGCTCTCCAGATATTTGGGACTTCCATTGCTGACTGGAGCTGCAATTGTAGCACAAAAGATCTAGAACGTATAAGGTTGGGGAAAGCTGACTTACACTGCTCCAGAGGGGTCTCTCTTTTTTAGATCTGCCTATAGATACCCAGGTAGGGACACGGGTGGCGCTGTGAGTTAAACCACAGAGCCTAGGATTTGCTGATCAGAAGGTCGGCGGTTCGAATCCCTGTGATGGGGTGAGCTCCCGTTGCTCAGTCCCTGCTTCTGCCAACCTAGCAGTTCAAAAGCACATCAAAGTGCAAGTAGATAAATAGGTACCGCCCCGGCGGGAAGGTAAACGGCGTTTACGAGCGCTGCTCTGGTTCGCCAGAAGCGGCTTAGTCATGCTGGCCACATGACCTGGAAGCTGTACGCCGGCTCCCTCGGCCAATAAAGCGAGATGAGCGCCGCAACCCCAGAGTCGTCTGCGACTGGACCTAATGGTCAGGGGTTCCTTTACCCTTTACCTATAGATACCCAGATAGCCGTATAGTAAAAGCTATGGTTTTCCCAGTAGTGATGTATGGAAGTGAAAGCTGGACCATAAAGAAGGCTGATTCCCGAAGAATTGATGCTTTTGAATTATGGTGCTGGAGGAGACTCTTGAGAGTCCCATGGACTGCAAGAAGATCAAACCTATCCATTCTGAATGAAATTAGCCCTGAGTGCTCACTGGAAGGACAGATCGTGAAGCTGAGGCTCCAATACTCTGGCCACCTCATGAGAAGAGAAGACTCCCTGGAAAAGACCCTGATGTTGGGAAAGATGGAGGGCACAAGGAAAAGGGGATGACAGAGGATGAGATGGTTAGATAGTGTTCTCGAAGCTACCAGCATGAGTCTGACCAAACTGCGGGAGGCAGTGGAAGACAGAAGTGCCTGGCGTGCTCTGGTCCATGGGGTCACAAAGAGTCAGACACGACTAAATGACTAAAGAACAACATAGATGCCCAGAACTGAACTTGGGGACCTTTTAGATGCAAAGCACATTCTCCAGCACTGACCTACAGTGATTTCTGCTGAAAGGGCCTTATGCAAGTTAGCTACCTAAGCAAGACCCAAGCCATGATGATTCTGATGGAAAGACGTTGTGCCCCTCCTGTTGTTGTTCTTGCTATTCAGCAAGAATTAGCCTTCTAAATTCCAGCTCAAGGCTATCCACTTTTTCTTCGTCATTTATACTGTGCCTTGTGAAATCACTGTTTCTTTAAAAGAAAACCTCTTCAGCATCTTCCTTGGAGGTTAATACAAAAGAAAAATGGGGCAGTATCTAAACGTTCCCAAATCCGCCGCTGAACAGTGCATCGTATTTCTTCCCTCTTACAATGACTGTGATTTTGCCTTATGTTGTAGTGTAGACATTTTAACGAGGAGATTGAATTAGTGGCCACAAATGCAAAGTTACCGTGCTAATGCTTGCATGTGTTTCTTTATTTCCCCCTGTGGGATTTGAATGCTGAATGTAGTCTTTTCACGCATTATGTGACAGCAAATCTGGGTTTGCCAAAAGATTTTGCATTCAATAGGGAGCTGCAGCACATTCGGGCTCTCGGCTGAGTGTGCCTGTAAGGTAGATGGTTGTTTCAGTCACACATAAGTTTTGTGGGTATGAATCAGCCCTCAGTCAGTCTCCAAGACTTTATTCTCATTGAAGAGAATGAGGCATCCCTTCCTCATTTGTAACCTTGTGTATACTTGCTGAGAACGGTGCAGACATGGATTGATGACCTTTGCTCTTTTTATTGCAATTTGTGCCCATATATGAAATATACTGAAGATCAGGTAACATGCAGTTTCCTTATAAATAGTAGAAAACACTAATGAGATCCATATAGATGCTATTATTTTAAGTACAGTGCAGTTTTTTAACGTCTCAGAAGTCGAAAGTTTCAGTTTTCGAATGCCGAAAACCTGGAAGTCGCTGCTTCGGTTTTTGAACACTTTTCAGAAGTCAAACGTTCATGCCACATGAGTTTTCATAAGTAAATGCTTCTGGAAGTAAATGCTTTGGTTTTCAAATGTTTCGGAAGTCAAACAGTCTTCCGGAATGGATTACGTTCGAAAACCAAGGTACTACTGTATAGATTTAGAATTTGATTCAGGAGGCAAAAATAATTGTCCCTGGGGATGCAAGGTGGCCACAAAAAACTATAGGCCCGTGTCTCCTCCTTCTCTCTTCCTCTCTTTGTGGGATATGACACGATAGAATCATAGAGATGGAAGGGACCCCATGCGTCATCTAGTGCAACACCCTGCAATGCAGGAATCTCAGCTAAAGCATCCATGACAGATGGCCCTCCAATATGTGTTTAAAAACCTCCAAGGAAGGAGAGTCCACAACCTCCAGAGGAAGACCATTCCACTGTCGAACAGCTCTTACTATCAGAAAGTTATTCCTGTTGCTTAGTCGGAATCTCTTTTGTGTTTTCCTGCTTCCACTCTTCTTCACTGGTTTATCTTTGTGGGTAAAATTAGTGATGGTACCACATCATATCTGACACATGGCCAGGGGAGCAGGGGGAGGAAAAGATGCAGGGCTACTACTTTTGATGGCTCTTTTGTGTCTGAGGAAAGGCTGTGACTCAGTTGCAGAGCATGTGTTCTGCATGCAGAAGGTCCCAGTTTAACCCCCTGGCATCTTTGAAATATTGTGTTTTAATGTTGTAACCTGCCTTGGGACCTTCGGGTAAAGGGCAGGCAATTAGTTAGCTAACAATATTGTTGGGGCAGGACTTTGGGGCAAATGTCCAGGGTTTCACTCATCACAATACGCTAGGGCTACCATGTTTCAAGCAGTGAAAATCCGGACAGAAAAGTTGTTGAGCTTCTTTAAGTTTTGCCTAAAATTGCTGAACTTTTTGGGCAAAATCGCAAAAGCAAAGGCCAGGAAATGGGGGGGGGGACGGAACTCCCAACATGGGCTGTCATGTGTCCAGGTGTTCCCAGATATTGGACTGATTTCCACCTCCACACTGCTGCCAACTGCACTATTCCGGATATGTCCAGACACATGGCAACCCTAAAATATGCAGAAGAACTCCCAAAATAAAGCAGAACACTACACTTTGGGGAAGAAACCTCTGTAAAGCAGGTAAATCTGAAGACTAAAATTACCTAACTGCATTGCCAAGTTCTGCTTATTCATCAGTCAATCTGCAATGGGTATTCAAGGTAGAAGGTATTTATTCCTAAACTTTAGAGTTGGGGTCTTTTGCAAAGAAGTCATGAAACACTACCACTTGCCTCCAGAACACTTGCACTCTTGCTAGAGGCTCAGGCAAAGCACAGTTTCATTCATTGCCGATAAAATGATGGATAATTAAAGCAGGAGATGGGATTCAGTCTATTGAATTCGATAAGTTTGTAATGAATAATTTGGCCAGCTTTAAAGGCATGGTGGGTTCTTTGCTGTAGCTTCCTTGCCTTCCGCTTTGCCGCGCTGAAATGTATGAGCTTCTAATCAGCTAGAAGACTTAATCCGTTCCAATCCATTTGAATACATTAAGGGCCTTTCCCTTCTGTTTCATCTCAACATTTAGCCGGTTTAGAAACCGCACAGCCTTCAAAGGCTTCTGAGGTACAATTAAAGCGAGCCCTGACTCACCCTTGCAGCACCAC